CAGGGGCCCCTCCCCCAAAAAAAAGGGAAAAAAAAAAGGTGTGGGGTTCCCCGAACCAAAAAAACCCGGGAAAAGGGGGTTTCCCCCCACCCCCAAGGCCCCGGGGGGGGGGGGTTTTCCCCCCCCCCCCCCCCCCCCCCCCCCTCCCCTCCTCAAAAAGCAGAACTACTGACTGCATTGAATTGGTACAACAACTGCTGCTGTGCGCGACACAACGAACGCCATATATTACAAAACACATGCAGTCTACTGCTGTTGCAGTCTAGCTCCCAAGGGGCGACACTTGAGACAGACATTGAGAGACACAGATTGGCTCAGGAGTCTTCAGCGACTACAAGGGTCCAAGTCTAGCCAAATCTAACGTATACCATATTGACAAAACAAACCATCGCTACGCTTTACTTTACCCTCTCCTCCCCATCCCCGTCCGTAAAGACCATGCTTTATCGCACAAACCTCTTGTTGAGGGGGCACTCCTTTCGTACCACGTCAATTGAAGTAACAAAAATTCGACAAAATGAAATACTCTCGATTGAAACGGACGACACTTGGTGCGATCTGCTTGGTTGTGCCTGTGTGCTTTGATGTGCATGGCACAATACAAATGATGTGCTACTAGAATACAAATAGGGTGACTATTGGGTTAAAACACGCGACGCCATCGAGATGATGGAGGTGTTCACCCGCACCCTGCTCGGTTGTGGTACGTATGTAGTAGAAAGCTAAAAAAAACTCTCCCAGAAAAGCAGCTAACACTGCTCCCATGGAGCCTGTACATACCTGCCATGTTTACATACAAATCACCGCACGCGCTTTTCGTGCAGCCATGAGAGGGGACATTCCTATGCTGCGCGGAAAAAACGATCCCGCAATCGGAAAAAATACAAGGCAGCGACCTCTAGCTGAAACATAAAAACACCGCCCCAGTGCATGTTGCAACAAAACACGCGTTCATCTCTTCCTCCGGCAGCGTAGAAAAATTTCAAGCAATTAATTCCGAGCAAGCCATTTCAAGCAAGTACAACAGAGAGGCACCCTTCCCACCCACTTCTTACATTGCTCCTGTAACAGCAAGAGCCACCACATCATGCAGCAGCAATCATCGTGACATCAGTCTGTACCACGATCATGGACTCTCGCGCATGTTTACGGGGTTGTGCCCTGCTTGTGCGCTGCCAAAGCAAGGATGGATGCGGTTAGATGCCACAATGAATCTAACGTGTACACGCAATACCGCCTAAATAGATCCTATCAAGGCCAGGCCAAAGGCCAAGGCCCACGTTATCCAGCCCGAGGCCCATGCCGAGAACGGTCATACTGCGTTGTCAGTGTCAGTGTCAGCGTCATCATACTCCTTCCTTCCCGAAAGAATGAACCTAAACTTTGCGCTGCACTGGATATGATCTGCTGCGTAAAAACAGGCAGCAGCTAACAAATGCTACCCTGCAGCAGCACCGTGTGTCGATACCCGTTCCCCGCCATTGTTCGTGCTCATAAAAACGCGTAACAAATCAACCCCAACCGGTTCCTGACGACAACCCAAACCAAAATGCATCGTCACAAATCATCATGACATACATCACAAGTCACAACCGGTGTACCCGGGTAACGCCATCCTCTCTTCGAAGGAGAACCGTGTACTTGCAGCCGCAGCAGGTGGCGGAAGTCACAAGCATCGCAATAGCCACGAGAGCCATGATGATGATATGGAGGAAGGTCGACGCTGCCAGCAGCGACTCGGAGTCCTGAACGCATAACGCCCAGAAAATGCAAGAACGAGGGGGGGGGGGGGGCATGATGGGCATGGGGAGGACCCCCCCGTAACAAAAAATTGCCACGAGTGCTTGGCAACTGGAAAATGGTTGGATGTGCAGGCTGTCCCACCAAGTCTATTATTCCATGGTAAGAACAAGTGTCTGCCACGTACGTCGGAAGTACCGGAGAATAAAACGTTGCAAACCACACGGTACCGTTCCTTTCCGTCCCGTGCCGTACTGTACTGCACTGGAATTACCGTACCGTACCACCTTTGCCTGACAGCATGATCGGTGTACGGGCTGGAAGTCTCTAAAGGCACATAAGTCGAATTCAGCAACGGTACAACGGAGGGTGATATGATGGCAGCAGGGGCGCACCGAAAGTGCATGATCACGGCAGCCCCCACCTCGCTCCCCCGCTCAAAACCGCTCCCACGCAATACACAGCCTTAGAACAACCCGGCACTGTATCGAGCGAGCTAGCCAATCAAAATCATTCTAGGTTTTCACCTCACCTCAATCTCGTCGCAACTGCTGCCTTGGTACTGCAAGCAGGTTCGCGTTGATGTCCCGTCGAAGCAATCAGTCGACCCATCCGGCTCCCAGCAGACGCAATCATATCCACCACTTCCCAGCAGATTATATCAATACACGTGTAGATGGAGAGAAGGATGTCATGACGTTGCAGTCCGTGGTCGTAATTAATAGGACATCGTGGTGAGGACAACAGCATCCAAAGGAGAGAGAGGGGCGTCATGGCGGGGAAAAATACACGCGGTACGACATGACACAATATCGCAAGGGGATAGGTGGCGTCGTAAAGAGACGACAAAATGCTGTCGTCGGAAAAAAGTGCGGTGAACATATTCTTGTTTTGGTCCTTCCGAACTGGACGGAAAGGCATCTTCCACCCTCTCATCGTACTCCTCCCACAAACATAGTCCCTGGTCTGGTCTGTTGTGGTGTAGGACGCACGATTGTTCCCCTTGGAACACGGAAACAACCGACACCGACCGTTTCCGGGAGGACACTACCTACATGACTTGTACGACCGGTGATCCATCTGACTGACCGGCGTAACTGCTCTTGGTGTTAAGGCGAACGGATGACGCACACTCATTTCGTGCGACACGCAAAAACGACGAGAGCTCCAGCACAATAAATAGTGTTTCGACTGGTGCTTAGAGAGACGACAAGATCAATACCAAACAAACTTTTGATGGAGATGAGGTACGACACAACCACCCTCATGCCGAATCCGAACAAAGTATTTCGTTTTGTTTCGTCCGCCGGGGCATCAACGCATCAACACCAACACATGCAACTGAGAGGCGTTGCAGATAGTTCAGTCTAGAGTGCACCCTTCACGCCCAGTCCCGACACCATGAAATAGAACCAACCGTAGAACAGTCCGGGAGGCTTATCCGTTTGTACTTAACCCAGCACTCGTTTACCCCCGCCCCCCCACCAGCGTACACCCCCCCCCCTCTCCCGCAGCCACCACCAGCCAACCATTCCATCTCAAGCCTCCCCACTCACCAGATATCATCTAGGCATGACGACGTGTCCACGCAGTTCCCCTCGGTCGATTGCACCTTGCTATAAACTGCGAATCATTTCACGTCCACAGCATGCCGGGTGCGAGAGAGCAGCCAGGAAGCCATTAGAAGAGAACAAAGAGAGCCATGTGATTCACCGTGAACTATCAGGCTTGATGTGATGGGCTTGATGTGATGTGATTTGGTGTGATGTGATACGAGATACTTCCACTTGTATGAACTTGAGTTCGTATGTTTTTTGTCCATACGACAGAGAACGGAAGGAAGGCCTGTCGCTTGCGCAACCAGTGGCTCAAGTACCCCACAGAAACTATAAACTATAAACTATAAACACATGCTTTCCCTCCAAGAAAAGCCACAACCGCCTTCGAAACAAACATATATATAACAGCAAGAGAGGTGCAACCAGCGTGACTTGGCCAAAGAACTTCCAGTCACCCGTTGGTTCGAGGGAATGCACGGGTGGTGCCGTCATACAGAAGTAGAGTTGGTGGCACCAACCAATACCGATCGATGCGGACTGACGTAACGACGTCTCGGCGTCCTCCTGGCTCTCCGGAATGTACCGTGGGGTGTCCATAGCTATATGCATGCGTCGGTGCCGCATGCCGCATGATACCGGGATACTCGAAGGCCTGCTGCGACCACTTGTATTCCAATCAGCCTACGCCCGACGCATGCAGGCACCATCATTCCCAATGGTTAACATGTAGCCCTCTCATACGCCTTCTATGCTTGGAAGTCATGGTCATAAAGAAGCGTGCTCGCGTTTGGGAAAGATCGGCGAAGAAGTCTGTTTCAGCAGAAAAGGCCACCAATCGGCGGTGTTCGTTGAGACTATTCGACTGCTTCCTGTCTGAATAGGGTCTTCGCCTACTATATTAGCCAAGCTAAGCTACAAGGCTTTTGCTTGTCTGTCTGTCGCACTTTGTCGCCTTTCTTTTCCCGCAGCCTGGCTCCTGCCTCGCCCTCACCTAGACCATCCACCAGCACCAGCGACAGCGTAGCAGCCACTAGGCACATGGCCGATTGGAAGAAGAACGCCGCAGTGGGAAACCCGCCAGAGTGCTCCGTGATGGAAACACACGTCCCAGCCACCCCCGCCGCCAAAGCCATGAACCCCACCCAGAAGCCGCCCGCGTATTTCCAGTCTGGACCGCGGGGCGTACGGAACGGGGCCGCGAAACGAATGACACGACAAGAAGTACATCAGACAAGAAGGACGCAACAGGTAAACAGCGGTTCTATTGTCGTCGTGGTCTTTTACATCATGACCAACACGTGCCGATCTCCACTCAGAACCTGCTGGCGTTCGTATGGGTCCAAGTGACGCCGACAGACGACACCTTCCGCGGTGACAGGCTACATACATACAGTAACTACCGTATACCCGGATATGTATGTACACACATGTAGATAAATTGCAAAAACTCCATGAGAAAAACGACGCCTGCTCTCTGTGATCCATTTTTTTCATGACAGAGCGTTCACGAGGAAGGGCTGCTGTCGCAGATGCCATGTACCGGGAGAGGACCCTGCTTCGCTAGTTACCACTTGAGATATTCGCAAGCACATCCGCTGTTTCTTGTTCCGACAACAAGAACGCCATCCAACTATCGAAGCACCCAAGAAGAGGGAGTGTAGAATACCTCCGGGGGACAACGATATATAATAATCCCACTTTTCCTTGGTCCACATGACTAAAAAACGCAGTCTAACCCCCCACACCATTGCCCTTCCTTCCCGAGCGCAGACAGACAACAAACTGCGTACCGTTGAAGATGAGGGCTCCGACCACAATCTCCGCTGACCCCGCGGCAACAAGGATCCACCCCAGCACGTGTGAAGCCTTCACGATCCTTGGGAACGGCCTTGTCAACGAAATTCCGCTCATTCTCCTCTCCTCTTCATCATCTTCCACAGGCTGCCAGTTTTGATCGATGCATGATGATACAATTTAGTATGTCGTATTCCTCTCTTGTAGACACAAGGCAAAGTTCACTTACGTCTACCCGCAGGATATCTCCCTAGATTGGATCTCAAGCCAATATTTTTTTGTAATAGCCTTTTATGCCCTTTGTTCGACACATACATACCCTAATTACATTTCAACGCCGGAAATACTGGGCGATGACATCTGAACTGAAGGAAAGCACCGCGGAAAAGGACAGACGGTGGACGGTGGACCAAAAACAACTCGTGTGTTTAACCCTTTTCCTGCGTTTGTATGCATATTATGTACGTGGACGTACCTCCGGCTGGTGGGTCCCGAAAGAAAGAAAGAGAGTCTGTTGGGAGACGCCCAAGAACATTTACGAGAGCTTCGCGCGAAAAATTAGGAAACTTTGGAGAGGGCAGAGGTCATCAAAAGTCCGGTAGGAGAGCTCGAGACAACCCATCATCCATACTACCGCGCGGGAGAGACTACTGTGTAGGGACAACGCAGACCCGATAGCCGATGGCGCATGGATATATATATATATATATATACAATGACAAGTGAAGCGCTGATGGCAAGCTGCCCCGGGACAGAGTCGAATTGACAAGATTCGAACACAAGCAATAATAGAGTTTGAATTTTCAAGACGCGCACAATGCATAGCAATTTTCCATTGGGAGCAACGCCACTGATGGCCCTCCACACCCACCCATGTATTTTGTATCAACATCTACTTGAAGGTGGCGGCGGGGCGACCAGTAAACAAACGTCTAACGTATACTGCATAGACGTTCCGGACGATGCTATTATACTCCTTTGACTTCTCTGTTTCGTTTTTTTTGTATTCTAGCAGTTGGTCATCATCAGAGGGTCATGAATCTGCATGCATAGCTACAGCAGCGTGGTTGCGCAACGTCGAAGTATTTTGTTCTGAAAACTGAAAACTGGTGTCTGCTGGACATTCTCAAAAAAAAAAAATCTGAGTGAGGACGTCGACGCATTTACTACATGTGTGCAGGACTTGGAGGAACGGCAGCTCTCGATACGCGCTGCAGATCGCCGCTATTCGAGAAGCTGAGGAAGAGGATAGTCTAAACCGTGGATGCCCGTATCGTTGCTTATGGTCCGTACATCGGTCAGCCGATTCGCTGCGTGCGCGGGTCAATGTCAATGCCCGCCGCAGGCCACGCACCACCCTTACCACCCTGAAAGTGCGGTGCAACCTCTTTCTCTGCTCATCATCTTGCATGCCATATATTATATGTATGTACATCGAGCGCGGCGGGCCACATGGTTGTGTCGCAGAGCAAGCATAGGACTGGCTATCCGCGCTTCGCCCTTCCGCCATCCAATATGTGACACACGCTTCTTGCACTCTACTGCTTGTACTGATGCTGCGGTATGACAGGGAGGAGAAACGCGTGCTGAACTGACGTGCACCATGCACCATGCACCATGCACCATGCACCATGCACCAGTTTTTACCACAGGTTTATGGGGATCCCGGAGTGGTGCTGCCAAGGGAATGGCCACAGCGACGCAGCGCGGCGGCGGAACGAGATAAAAAACACCGGTTGTCCGCAACAAGCTTGGTGCCTCGCGCTCGCCCCGTTTATCAGACCCCTCTGGTGGAGCAGAAAGCCTGTGAACTCTGATGAACACAACAACACACACCCATGCAGCACTGCCCTGCCTGCAGATCACCTGCTGGTCCTTCCTATCTATAGTCTATATGGCGGGAGGCGCTTTGGATTCATGACGGGAAGGAATCAACCGTGCTTTGGAAGCCCTCGGCAGCGTTCCGACCAACCCATATCAACGGACAGACAACGCATGCAAGCGCGCCGCTCTTTGCTGCTTTTGTTGATCACGCGTTGCGGGAGATTCTGCTGATCATACAGCGGTACTGCGGCTGTCTCCGTCGTGGTACAACACATTCATACACAGGTCCAAAAAACGGTAGAACCGTGAACTCACCCCGTTGTTTCTCACGGGCATCGTCGGCGCTGCTCCACCCTTTGGCGTCGAGGCCGAGGGAGCAAAGTTTGGAGGGCTCATGATCTGTACTAGGCGGGGAAAATAATGGAGCTGGAGTGATGGGAGTATGGGTACGGAGTGCAGCAGCAGCCAAAATCCCCATGTGGTCTGAACGAAAAAAAAACTCGCACGGTCCCTAACTCATCAGGGGACCACCGAACGAAGAACCCGTCTCTCTGACAGAAAAGAATGTACTTCGAAGTACGAAACATCAACCTTGCCTTGTTGTCTCTTCCCCTCGCAACAAATAAATCCATTCATTCATTCGTCGAGCAAGGCTGCTGTGTGTGGTGGAACACGAGTGAGTCTGCTGTGATATGTACCGGAAGGTGCCCACCACGTATGTATGGATAGACTATACATACATAGTAGACGACGTTTGGAGCGAAGACTCATCCTGAGTCGTAGTACATACGTTATACCACGTATTAATATACACACGCTGCAGCACTTTTTGTTAATTCACCGTACACCGAGCCAGCGTTCTCGTAACCAACGTGGGGACATGCACGGTAAAAACCCACCTTATCTAAACTCAGCAAACCTACACCCATAACCCAACCCAGCCCTCGATCCTTCCCCATCATCATCACGTGGCCATGGGTGCATTGCTAGAGGAGCAAGAGGCTACAAAGTAAGCACATTGTGTGCATACGAACCCCGGATTTTTTTAGAATCTACATTCAAACACAAAGAATTACGCTGCATTTCCCTTCGTAGACTACATAGTGTCCAAGCACAACAGACAAGAAAACCCGGGCGGTTGAGAAAGTTCCCAGGCGCGCACACGTTTTCGATGCACTTGGTCCAAAGAGCCACAGCAGATAGACAGGACCTTAAAATCACCTCAATGCGGTTCAACGGGAACGAAAGGAAAATGGTCGGCTTCACTCTGAATGATTCATTAACGATATCACAGCAGTACAACAAACGACTGACAGCAAAAAATGGTTCGCTCTCGACGGACGACATACAAATGGTTCACTCTGGTTGTTTTACGACGAAAGGTTGGAATATGAACAACTCTGCTTACCCTGCGTAGGCGTGTCTTCTTGTAGACTGACAAGAAACAAAACAAAATCGCATTCCTTCCTTCTTCGAAGCAACAGCACAAGTCGCAACAATATGTGAGTGCAATAAGAAACCACGTATTTCAGTACAACGCAAGCATGCCACTTGGGCAAACGTTCAACAAAGCAAACAATCATTGGCCTGCTCCGTAGGCGATGCGATGCAAGATTCAAGGTCTCAAACCAGTTGATCGCTACACACAATGGACTCAGGTTGATCAGGTCACTGCACCGAACGAAGCAGGCGGCAAACATCCCTCCTCGCCTCACGATCAAAACCAATGTCAAGTTTCGTCCATGCGTGAGTCGACAGCCAACTACCAAGTACGAAATAACCCCAAGCTTTGCCAAATGTACGGACAAAATTTACAATCCTTTATCCTACTGTAGGGTACCAGACCACCAGCACCACCCCACTACACGGACCGCGGGCACCTCGCATGGCCACCACCACTCCTGCTGTACACGGATGTGACACCCATTTACGACTAGGTCGAAGCGCCAACAACTCCAATACCCCTCTATATCAACGTGATTCGAACGCTACCATGCCATACCATACTACAGCAACTTCGCTTCGACCCGGCAGCGGGGCGCGGAAAAAAGTCGACTCAAGCACTGGCCAAAACTATTTGTCGCGGAAACCGGTGTCGCGCAAATGAACTGGCTACGGGTAAAAGTGCGTTTCATAATTCTTCGCTAGCCGGGCCTACCGTTCCAACAAACTACCGACACTCACCACACAAACACCTGGAATCACGCACGCCCAACAAAAATGTCCCCACACCTGGAATCACAACCCCGGTTGTCACGACCAACAATTAACCACAGCAACATGGACAAACATCAACGGCATCGGCAACACTGCAGGCAGTACTATAATAACAGCAACAACAACAACAACAACATTAGGCGGCCAGCCAAAATACAGGGACGACAGACAACAGACGGCCGGCGGCAATGATATTTATATTTATTCTCCTAATCAATTACGGGACCACGCGAGTGGAGGCCTGAAACAAACTCAGCACAAGTAGATAGATAGCAACGCCCGATCTAAGCTTGTGAGATTTTGCCTGGGGTCCGTCATTCAACTGCCAGCGACCTACACACTGCAGCCGCTCATCCCTCCGGCGAGACTTGGTCTCCAGTCGAAGAAGCGAGTGATGTCAGGTGTCACTTGTCACATTTCACTCGCTACCAACGGACCAGAGACAAACGACTGTGAGCCACGCCCCCCGGCCTACGACAAAATTTCTAACAGCGCCCGTAGCTAGAGTGCTTCGGCATTCCCCGTAGGGCCGAGAACGAGCGTTCGCGAATCCAAACTGCGTCCCTCCCCCAGGGGGCCAAGTAAAACGTGGCACTGCTGTACAAACGGCCTCGTGCGGTTCTGTCCAACGACTGCAGTACTATTCGACATACCTTGCTCGCACGACGCTTTGGTAATCAATCCTCGGAGAAAGGGAGGTAGAACAGCTACCTACCGATAGCTAGACGATTCTTCGCTAGACTCCACGACGATGGTGCGCTTGCAGTACCAACACGTGTTGATGGCTACCACCAGCGACCAGAAAGAGCAGAAGGCGATGATGACTAAGATGATGAAGGACCCCAAGAGGATATTTTCAGAGTCCTGTCATGTCAAGTTTCAAGTCAAGTCGCATCCGACAAACGGAAGTAGCGCCACGGCCGCAGAAAAAAAAAAAAAGTAAGGGACTTTTGAAAGGGGGAGCATCAAGAAAAGAACAGAAGAAGAGAGCTGACAGCCATGCAAAAAAAAAAGGAAGAACAAGAGTTGAGAAATTTGAATGGGAGAGCAACAGGGAAAAAGAGAGTTGACACTCACAAACGGAACAAACAAGATACATGAACGGGGGGGCACCAGAAAAAAAAACTCCGCAGAAGATACTCCACCTAAACACGGCCTACACAATGAGACACGAGTGGACCTAGGATCGTACAGTATTAGTAGCACCTTGAACAATCACGGAAATATATGTGGTCCAGCACTCAATGCCGCCTTATGGTGCGGTAATCCGACAGCGGCCTATGGATACAGCAGTACGACGAAAAACAGGGCTTGAGCGGAGGCCCCGTCAATCATAACAGGGTACCCGTCACCCACTTTGCTGGGCACGCCGCGCACCAATTTCGCCTTCTCCAACGCACCTTGATATCGCTGCAGCTGTCTCCCCCAAACGGGACGCAGTAACGAACGCTTCCCGCATCCGAGCAAACGTCAGTCCCGTCTGGCTCCCAGCAC